AAATATTTACCATTATTTAAGTAGTTTGATGAGATAATTTTTAATGAAACATTATAACGTGAGAATGCAAAATGCTATAGCTTAATTTACAAATACTTTTTTAACCAATATAATTTTAGTTAGGTATAGAAAGTACTTACCCGAAAATTCGATTTCTATAAGCACTAGAGTGTATTTAAAATATAAAGAGACTTGATCAGAAAAGCAAGTTTCTGGTTTTAAGACCATATTGTATAAGTTTCCCTGGTTTTGACAGTGGCTTGATAACTTTCCAACTTCGATGCATCAATCAGTTCCCGTCGATGGAGACATGTTGAACACGGAAACTTAAAGTCAAACTTTGACACCGTTAGCAGCTTTAAAGCCGATTGAGATTTTTGAAATGAGTATCAGTAAGCTGATTGATTAGATTTTCTGGGAAAATCAAGTAGTTGGTCAAAGTCCGTTACGAGCCCTCAGCTATATTTTTTGCTATTACACTTATGCAACGTATTGTTAGGAAGTGTAGGTGTTAAATAATGAAGGAGACACGCTTTAGAGTAGGGATTTAATTACACACGATATAAATTGAAGGGGAAAACACACATATTTGAAACTCCTATTGAGATGTAATACCTATTGAGGTGGTAAATCCGCAATGTCTTTGCTATTACACTTATATACGTTCGAGAAGTTTGGCTGGTTAGGTTAGGTTAGAATAGTGTCATCTAATCTAACCTAACCTAACCAACCAAATTTCTCGAACGTATATAGGTGTAACAGCAAAAAATAGAGTTGTGGACTCGTAACGGAGTTTGACCAAGTAGTTTACCAACCTATTTCTTAAGATCTTCATTAATTCTTGTGTATATTGCTAGAGATTGGTCACATTCTTCCCAACAAAGCACAGTTACATTTGTTTCTAATAGGCTATGAATGCGCATCAGAAATAATACACCAAAGCGAGCTGGTCTAGTGACAGATTGCGGGACTTGGATCTCAGAGGTCCTGGGTTCAAACTCCGCTGATCACTAATGGTTTATTTATCCAAGTGATAATGCCACAACCCCTAGGCCTAGCCTGAAGTAATATAAAATACCCCCGCCGCAGCAAACCTGCCGTCTAAGTGAATTTCCATTTGGCTGAATCGATTTTCAATTGATCTATTTAAATAACATTAGGTTTAACGAGTACCTAGGTTTGCTGCTACAAGGAAACTAATAAAGTGTGTGTTTTAAGTAAAATAATTATTGCTTAGTATAAAATGAATACATTTGCCAAGTTTGATCAAAAGATATCCATAAACAAGCAAACTACAACATTTTACAATATTCTCCATAAGAATAACATGGGAATTTTAAATTTACCATTTTTTTTGTTTTCTCCGTAACCAATAACCGTAAAAAAAACACTTTTATATACTAAATTGCTTGTTTTTTTAAGCTCTTTAAGAAGGTTTAGAGAAAAATTGGGAAATTTTATGTTTTGAGGGTCAAAAGTGAGAAAACCCAATTTTTACCCCATAAAACCCCCCATAAAACCCTGTTCCCATGGTCCGATCATGCTGTATCGCGAACTCATTCAAGTTTATCCCGCCTTACACCTTCAAACCAAATTTCATCAAAATCGGATAAAAATTACTCAAGTTATCGTGTTCACGGACACATATATATATATATATATAAATCTATATATATATATATATATATATATATATATATATATACATATATAAAAATTTGAACGAATGGTGTTTTTAGCCTCTGGGGACATCAAAATGAAAAATTAAATCGGTCCCGAGCCTAAGTCTTACCATGAGACCTACGGTAATAGCTACTTCCCTATAGGAAAATTCGCTAAAACAAACCCAGACTAGAGCTTAGTAAAACATCTTATTATAGGTTAGCTACTGCAATGCAAAATTGCCAACTTTAACATGCAAATAAATCAAACTATAATAAGTTATTTCCAGTTGGCCCTTTAAGTTGTACTGTTATTTCGTGTGTTCTATGTTTATGTTAGTTGTATTGTATATTTTAGACTTATTTATTGATTTGATCATTAATTTGATTTTCTAACTCTGACTCTTATAAAGATAAATTAAATAATTTTGAATCTACCCTATTCTAATTTTAAAGTTTGAACAGAAATACTATTATCCATCTTATCAACGTTCATCAAAACTTGAAGTTAGGAAGTTAAGATAGGGAAAATCAGTTTATTAAACTTGATATTAAACATTGGTCGTAAATCATGAGGTCATAAAGTTTACGATATGAAGGAACATGACTCCAGCTGGTTTATAACAACTAGCTACCGCATAGCCTAATTATTTGATATATTATTACCTCTTATTATTAAGTCTTAAAATCAACGTATCATATCTAACTTTTAACCAAGTCAGTTAATCCTTAAAACGTATTATTCATAAATGGGTACATTACCATATTTTAATTACAATGATAGCATACTCAATGTTAAACACTACTACTATTATAACAATTCCTTGAATTGACTCATACGATTACTAAAGTTACTTCTAAGTGGAATGATTTTAATTGATTAAAACCCACGTTTATTTTAAGGGCCAACCTAAACTACGATGCGAAACCCATTTTGGAAGTAAAATCAATCCAACCGAGTGTCAAAAAAAAAAAAAAAAAAAAAAAAAAAACTAGTCTATTATTAAATGTGTCATTGGCCATATCGAAATATTGAAAAATAAATATCGATGAGTTGAGTATTAAAACAAATAACGGTTACAACGTTTTTTAATGCAATGATTGCACTATCAATTAGAAACGTTAATTGCTATATAGTTATGATAACACATTATGTTCTATCTATGCTATAATACGAGTAACGTTTGCGCACATTGATTTAAAAACGGCTCCTATGATTTCCTCTAAATTGTTAGGTATATCTTAGTTCCAGGCTAAAACCAATATCCATGCTAGCCACTGTTCTGGGAAAATACTTTTTTCGTAAAGAAACTTTAAATTAAATTACAATAACTTATATTTAACATCTGTCTTATGGAAAGCTAGGTAGTCATAACAGATTTACGAAAATGTAAATAAATGAATTGAAACACATGCTTGTAACAAACCATCTACAATACAGTGGCAAATTACTAAATACAGTACAAAAGAAAAGCCCATTCCAAAAAATACCATTTATCATTGGTTATTTTTAATATACATGGGGTTTCTTATCAAGCAATGGGATAATTACGACTGTTGAAAATCTTAGAATACTTTTCTGCACACGATAATTCACTAATGCTAAACAAAGAGTATTGTGGAAACCCCAAGGAGGTTCTTTAGCTTTTGACGATGCTTTACCAAAATGGGCGGTTGTTTGACGATCCAACGGATTATAAAATAGAAACGATATGTACAAAAACAAAAAACGACCCGAAAATAAACATGTTTGTATTACTATTTCAAAAAAGTCCAAAACTAGAGATTATTAGTATTGGATTCCATCCAGTTTGCAACAATGATGGTCAACAGGTGATATGTTATACATTATCGCGATTTTGTTATTGAACTTCATTTAATCAATATTGTTAATAGCCTATTGATTGTTTTTCTGTATGGAAATGATTGTTAATTAAATTAAGAAAAGAATGAAGAGAGAACGTCTACCAAAGAGAAATTGGCTTTAAAACTTAACTAAACGTAGCGAAATTGAAAATGGAGACGATTTACGTGGAAAACAAATAAGGTATAATGTTTTTAATGGGTTAGATCGAGTTCTAAATTAATAGTTGTTTTTGAACATGTTCGTTTGATTTAGACATATTTTAAATGTACATCAGTATAAAAACTAACCTCTTTAGGAAACCAAACCATAGAGTATTCGGAGTGTTTATTTGCACTTTTTACTAACTATTTTGCCGTTTTTATGTTAATAGTTGAACTTAATTCTAAGAGTAGATTCATCAGTGTTATTCATTAGTTTTCAATAAAAATAACATTTTCCTAGGCCTAACACAAAATTGTACGATGCATCTAACGGAAATTTTTAATCAACCTATTAATTAAAGTAATTTGATTGGTAAGTTAATTAATAAATTGCGTAGAGGAAACCTGAAGTCAAAACTATGGGCCAATAAACTATAAAATATGTGATAAACTAAAATATTGATTAAAGTTAATTCTTATACAAAAGATTGAAAAATGACAATACTGTAATAATACTATTTTTAATGAATAATTTTTGTCTTAAAATTTTTTTGCTATGTCAGTTATGCGAGTTTATTTACACCTACAATGATTTTCAATGACTTGAGACGACAGGTCAGTGCACAAAATGTTGCACAAATAGCACCAATACGTGAGCACGATAAAATTACGTTATCGAATTTGTTTTATACATATTTTAGACTGTATCTTATACGATCATGGAAATTGTACATAATGTAGGCCTACGTTTATTGTTTTACGTCTCCTACAAACTAAACCCCACGAGCAATGCTCGGTCCCCTGGTACTACAATATAAATGATTTATGAGTTATTAGTAGAGTATTGTAATACATTTATTGGTAAAACAATAGTTTGAATGCTAATGAATAACAAAGTTTACGACTACACAATTTCAGCTTAATTATGATTCAACTTTCTACTTTGCACAAAGAGGGAGAAATATGGCTTTCTTCGGAGTTAAGCAAAAGCAGTAAAACAGTCTTGTTATTAAAGTGAGCCTCATCATAACTGAATCATCAGTCGCTTGGATTTAGTTTAAAGGAGGAGGGTTAAATAATAAGGCTGGATAAAACTCATAATGCAAGTACAAATAAAATAAATATTGTATAGCTAAACCAAGTCGGAAATGTAAAAAAATTGGCATATTTTTTACAAGTTATGATTATCTTATTTAGGAGTAAACTGAAATATAACAACTAGAACTTAAACAAAATAAACAGAATTAAATGTTGTTACGATTGGTATTAAGTTCAAGTTATGAGGAATGAATTGTAGCAACCCGAGTTGTGTTCCCAACTTTGATTGGCTTGTTATTGGTTATTGCTGGTGTTGAACTCCAATATCCCAGCAGTCGACCGAGGTTTACTATGTACCTCTGCCCCGATAGATGGGTAAGCCAATGAAGGTTTATTATGTGCCTCTGTCCCGATAGATGGGCAAGCCAATGAAGGTTTATTATGTACCTCTGCCCCGATAGATGGGCAAGCCAATGAAGGTTTATTATGTGCCTCTGACCCGATAGATGGGTAAGCCAATGAAGGTTTACTATGTACCTCTGCCCCGATAGATGGGTAAGGCAATGAAGGTTTATTATGTGCCTCTGCCCCGATAGATGGGTAAGCCAATGAAGGTTTACTATGTACCTTTGCTCCGATAGATGGGTAAGCCAATGAAGGTTTACTATGTACCTCTGTCCCGATAGATGGGTAAGCCAATGAAGGTTTACTATGTACCTCTGCCCCGATAGATGGGTAAGCCAATGAAGGTTTATTGTGTGCCTCTGCCCCGATAGACGGGTAAGCCAATGAAGGTTTATTATGTGTCTCTGTCCTGGTAGACGGATAAGCCAATGAAGGTTTATTATGTGCCTCTGTCCCGATAGATGGATAAGCCAATGAAGGTTTACTATATACCTCTGCCCCGATAGATGGGTAAGCCAATGAAGGTTAACTATGTACCTGTGCCCCGATAGATGGGTTATCCAATGAAGGTTTATTATGTGCCTCTAACCCGATAGATGGGTAAGCCAATGAAGGTTTATTATGTGCCTCGGCCCCGATAGATGGGTAAGCAAATGAAGGTTTATTATGTGTCTCTGTCCCGATGGATGGGTAAGCCAATGAAGGTTTATTATGTGCCTCTGTCCCGATAGATGGATAAGCCAATGAAGGTTTATTATGTATCTCTGCCCCGATAGATGGGTAAGCCAATGAAATTTTATTATGTGCCTCTGCCCCGGTAGACGGGTAAGCCAATGTAGGTTTACTATGCACCTCTGCCCCGATAGATGGGTAAGCCAATGAAGGTTTACTATGTACCTCTGCCCCGATAGATGGGTAGGCCAATGAAGGTTAACTATGTACCTCTGCCCCGATAGATGGGTTATCCAATGAAGGTTTATTATGTGCCTCTAACCCGATAGATGGGTAAGCCAATGAAGGTTTATTATGTGCCTCGGCCCCGATAGATGGGTAAGCTAGTGAAGGTTTATTATGTGTCTCTGTCCCGATGGATAGGTAAGCCAATGAAGGTTTATTATGTGCCTCTGCCCCGATAGACGGGTAAGCCAATGAAGGTTTATTATGTGCCTCTGCCCCGATGGATGGATAAGCCAATAAGGGTTCATTATGTACCTCTGCCCCGATAGATGGGTAAGCCAATGAAGGTTTATTATGTATCTCTGCCCCGATAGATGGGTAAGCCAATGAAGGTTTACTATGTACCTCTGCCCCGATAGATGGATAAGCCAATGGAGGTTTATTATGTACCTCTGCCCCGATAGATGGGTAAGCCAATGTAGGTTTACTATGTACCTCTGCCCCGATAGATGGGTAAGCCATTGAAGGTTTACTATATACCTCTGCCCCGATAGATGGGTAAGCCAATGAAGGTTTACTATGTCCTTCTGCCCCGATAGATGGGTAAGCCAATGAAGGTTTATCATGTGCCTCTGCCCCGATAGTTGGGTAAGCCAATGAAGGTTTATTATGTGCCCTGTCCCGATAGATGGATAAGCCAATGAAGGTTTACTATGTACCTCTACCCTGACAGATGGGTAAGCCAATGAAGGTTTATTATGTGCCTCTGCCCCGGTAGACGGGTAAGCCAATAAAGGTTTTTTATGTGCCTCTGCCCCGGTAGACGGGTAAGCCAATAAAGGTTTGTTATGTACCTCTGCCCCGATAGATGGATAAGCCAATGGAGGTTTATTATGTACCTCTGCCCTGATAGATGGGTAAGCCAATGTAGGTTTACTATGTACCTTTGCCCCGATAGATGGGTAAGCCAATGAAGGTTTACTATGTACCTCTACCCTGATAGATGGGTAAGCCAATGAAGGTTTATTATTTGTCTCTGCCCCGATAGACGAGTAAGCCAATGAAGTTTTATTATGTGCCTCTGTCCCGGTAGACGGGTAAGCCAATGAAGGTTTATTATGTGCCTCTGCCCCGATAGACGGGTAAGCCAATGAAGGTTTATTATGTGCCTCTGACCCGATAGATGGGTAAGCCAATGAAGGTTTACTATGTACCTCTGCCCCGATAGATGGGTAAGGCAATGAAGGTTTATTATGTGTCTCTGCCCCGATAGACGGGTAAGCCAATGACGGTTTATTATGTGCATCTGCACCGATAGATGGGTAAGCCAATGAAGGTTTATTATGTGCCTCAGCCCCGATAGATGGGTAAGCCAATGAAGGTTTATTATGTGTCTCTGTCCCGATAGATGGGTAAGCCAATGAAGGTTTATTATGTGCCACCTCTGCCCCGATAGATGGGTAAGCCAATGAAGGTTTGTTATGTACCTCTGCCCCGATAGATGGGTGAGCCAATGAAGGTTTATTATGTACCTCTGCCCCAAAAGTTGGGTAAGCCAATGAAGGTTTAGTCAATGTGGCCCAGGAGGTTTTTACGACACTAACTTTGTATCTTGGTCACTAAGACCAAAACAGGTCCTTTTCCTTGCCATTCAGAGATAATACGTTTGGAATGCAATCGGAATTCCATTATTGACTGTTTTATTGGTTCCAAGAGTACAGATTTGTTTCGGAACTGACCATACAGCAGTCTTCTACTTAACCTTTCCTCTCCTTTAGTTTAGTATCAATGTATTGAAGTAGGCCTAATGCGGATCAGACAAGAAGGTTTAACAAGTGAGTTTGTCCAGTGAAGTTGACCAGCAATTAATTCTGCTTCCTTTACCTCTCGTTGATCCGGTGGTGACAATCGCTTTGCTCATGCCAAGCCAAAACTCTCAAAGTTATCTGCACACTAACAGACCGGCCAGTTCTCAGATAGATGGAAGGCCAGGAGACAGATTCCATCATGAAAGTGTTCCAACAAGTGTTCCAACAGGCCAAGGTTCCAAAAATATCACTTCCACATTAAATTTAATATTTTCCGCTTAAGAAATCAATAGGGATAGTTCCGAGAGGCTTTATTCAAATAACGGCATAAGGTTCGGTAACATAGGGCCTACGTTAAAAACAACTTTAATAACAAAAATCCAAACAACATTTGAAACAAGTTTCCCCCATTCAAATTAAATATTGAAAATACTCATTTTTCAACTGTGGAATGCACGTTTATAAACATCGATAAGCTATTAAGATTAGCATAACAAGGATACCGTAAGAATTTATAAACTCTTAAGCTTATAACTGAAACTCAATTATCCTACTAATATTATAAGTGAGAAAGTTTGAATGTATGGATGTTTGTGACAATTAAACGCGAAAAATACTGGTCGGATTGAAGTTTTGTTATGATAGCTCACATTTTCGATTAACATTCTAATCTACAAAATCCTTTCGGGGCCCGCCCAGTGGCTCTGGAGATTATCATGTTAATCTTATGAGTGGGACCTTATGTTAACGTATATTTAAAAGGAATAATATTATATAAAGTGACTCGTTTTGACCCGAGGTCAAGTTTTACGATCTAGGCGAAGCGGAAGTCAGAAAATGAGCGAGGGTTAAAAAGTCACTTTTTGCCCCTGTGGTTAACTATATTTTTCGTCAAATTGCATCATTAATTAACAATCAAAACTAGAAAACGAACTAATTTTTATGAAAAGATAACCTCTCAAAATGACTTCCAGCTTGTATTAAATTCTGTCAATGCAAATAAGCAGCTGTTTAGTAAGTTATTCAATAATTTCGTCTATTACGATTGTGTTATAGCTATTTACCTTACAAGTGTAGTAAGAGAGTTTTTACATCACGCAGGTGAATGTTGTGCAACGAGCGGAAGCGAGTTGCATAATTTACCGAAGTGATGTAAACACGCTCTTGCGTAACGTGAAACGTACAAGACTTTACCTGACCCGACAATATACACGAGGTTACGAACAATATTTTTCATTATCCATTTCACTCATCTTCTAACAGTAACGTTCATTTACAAACAAAAGCTAGGTTAGGAAAATTCTTCAAAACATAACAATAAAATTCAAGCGCGCAGCTGATTTCTAGCGTTGAACGTCGTTGGCTCCATAGAGGTATATTTTTTAAGTTAAGCACTCAATGTTATTTAAATGGGTTTCATTACATCACCGAGTGAGTTTTTTCCAACTTTACATCACTCGAGAAGTAACGAAGTTATATACATCACGCTTGGGATAGGGAAGTTTAACATGGCGGGTTAGGTAAAAGTACATTATACCATCGATATGTCGAGCAATGGACTACAATAGGCTAAAACCTTACCTAAAAAATCCATCGATAAATCATTTTGATCGAAACGATTGCCACAATCGAAATTTGCAACTGTTTACAACAGCTGATTTTTACTCCTTATAGACTAAAAATGATTTTTACTCCTTAGAGAGTAAAAATGCTACTTTAGACCCGCAACGCATGCATTAAAAACGGCTGCTTTTGCTTCAGTATGACGAAAAAAATTGTGTCAGCTGTTTAAACTACACAAGTTGGTTTTATGATATTAAATAGCATTTAAACGTTATAAGGTTACCCAACAGAGTGCAGCACTATTGACTTTTTAAAATTTAACTTTTTTATACTTTTAAGCCAATGCCGTAAGAAGGACTATGCTAGTGCATAGATTTATTTATACGCTTTATTTAGTAAAGTTGTTGTCAGTAAAATTGCATTTTCGTATATTCACTTATTTTGCAAATACTCAAATGATAAGAAAATACGGAATTGATCGTCACAAATGCGATAGATTTGGTGCATTATTTTGGAACCTAATTTTAAACTCTAACTGATAATAATATTCAATGATAATAATACTCAATAATACTCAAATGATAAGAAAATACGAAATTGATTGTCACAAATGCGATAGATTTGGTGCATTATTTTGGAACCTAATTTTAAACTCTAACTGATGAATTAATATTAATAGTAATATTAATATTAGAATTAATATTCTAGGATAGTGACATTGACAATTTTCGATGGGCAGTGTAACTACTATACAGTAATTAGTAAACAGTATGTAACATCAGAAGGGCGGAGCTATCAGATGATTTAACACTGCAGACAATTACCTACGAGTGTACAAAGCATTATATGACAATCTGGTGACAATGCTACTGATACTAGTAATAAATCAATGTTACGATGGTTAAAACGAGTTTAATCATTGTTTTTATCCAATATCTAACAGTTTTATATAAGAATTCTTAAAAATGGTTAAATAACTAATCTAAAATGAACTTAGACGTTAACATCTTGGCTTTAGTAAAAAAGTACTAGTAGTTTAGCTTTATACCTATATTTTTCCTGCCACAATTTTTGTTTGCGTCGAACGAAGAATTCGGGCTATTGAATCCCAATTCAAGTAATTGACAAGAAGTCTAGAGGGACAAGAAATGCCTCGGTCGAGCATCGATAAGATACAGTGATTGAGTCCATTACGATATTGCTTAAAGGGGGAAAACACATGTGTTGAAACGAAAGCCTTTAATTTTGTTAATAATAAGACCGTAATTATAGCTTAACACTACCCACAGTTTTTATGTTAATGATATTAATGAACTTTGTCGCACACTTTTTACTTTCCCACACAGTTTGTGCTTTGTCGTACACCAATATTCCAACTAAACAATACAAAACAGCGTGCTTTTATTATGCACGTAATCCGTGTACGCGATCAGATCAGATTGTGCAGCGTTTCCCATTTCGTTCAATGTTTGGACTTAAACTAAGTAAAAATGTGTTGTACATTGTTTGAAAGACTAATTATTATATGCTTTATAGTAATTGTAGGAAAAATATAATGTGTAACGCGAGTGCAAACTGCCTTTCCTGCACTCGAGAAACTTTCCACACTCACCTACGGCTCGTGCGTAAACATTTCTCTCGTGTGCAGCAAAGTGCCACTTCGCCCACTAGTTACACAAATGTTGTGTTATGCGTTAATAACGTACTAACTATTCTGTGTATTATGATGTTAAGTATCGTACGTTACTCACCCGGCGAGGTTTAACGTACCGTACTCACACGTAAATCCCGCACTCGCCCGCGGGCGAGGCGTGTCGTGCTCGCACGGTAAAACACCTTACTTACCGGGCTAGTAACGTAATATTCATAATTTAGCTGATTAACTTATTTAATGTTTAATTCAACCCGAGCAAAGCTCGGTCTCCTGGTACTTTTTATAAGATGTTAAGAGAAAAATGACCTAAGTTAGATATTGTGTTTTGATAGGGTGTGCAATAGAAAATTTTATATTAATTTAAATATATCACGGATTTTGAAGTCACGAAGTGGAGCTAGCTGCTAGTTATAATTTAAACAAAGTATTTTTTTAATTTTCTTTAGTTTTGTTTGGTATTAAATAAAAATTTAGACTTTGCATCAAACGGAATTAATATTCTAAATTTAGCCTGAGTTATTTTCCTGCCTAGTATCAAGTAGGATCATAGCACGTCAGAATGTTTAATGCAAAGCGTAATAATGTATTTATTTACATTTTAATAATAACACATTATTAAATAATAAAAATTTACTTTTTTACTGGGAATACGTGTTAATTGTTAGGTTGTTCATTTTAATTTTAGTATTAAGCTAACGTCATTGTTCTATTTGAAACTAATGAAAACGGGTTTCATACAGAATATCACAATATATACGGAAAAAGTCAGGTTATAAGTTTAAATTGGTTGATAATGATAATGAAAATGTACACACAAACTAAACAATTATAATTTACAAAGACGAGTCTAATTTCACGAAACGTTATTTTTTATTTGCATTTAATATATATAATAATTGTCTGTATATATTATGTTTTCGTTGTAGGGATGGGTCAATAACTATATGTTATTATAACGATATTGATATGGCGTCCCTTACATTTTGCATTCGTCTACAAACACATAAGCTATCCACCAAGTATTGTATTTCATCAGAGACCAGCCTTGTATACGTCGCTGGGCAAGGTTCGCAGTTTATTCTTAGCGAATTTCCCTATAGGGAAGAAGCTATTACCGTAGGTGGCATGGTAAGACCTCGACCTGAAAAATGTATACTTTTCAACTTAGATGTTTCCAAAAGGATAAAAACTGTTCGTTCGATTGTAAATAAGTGGTGTACATAATTGATTTATTTATTATGAATTGACGACCTTCGAATGAAGCAAGAAGACATCTGTACTGATCCGACGATGACTCCTTTGTGAGTCGAAACCGTTTGCAATTTAGCAACACATTGATCACATAAATGCAGGAATTTACACCATTATTTAGTAAATAAGTGTGTGTGTGTGTGTGTGCGTGAACGCCATAAGTCAAGTAATTAATTGTGGTTTGATTTTGATTAAATGTGTCATGACTGTCTTTAGGTTGGAATTAGATAAAAAATTTGATCGAGTTTGCGTTCCAGCAAGATTGAATGGTATGACGGTGGTACCATATTATTATGGTATTATATCTGTGCTTAAAAATTAATATTAATATTTTTTTACCTTCCTGCAAAACTTATTTCATGTACAGATATGGTTTGTATTACAATTTTTTACTTACTTCATATACATATAGCTACGTAGTATAATCTCCTTTGCTGTTTATTGTGTTTATGTATTTGCGGTACAATACTGTTGGTGTTAGCTCGGCTAGTCTAATGCGTAGTGCTCGGGACTGCATGCCTGGAGGTGGAAGTTCTAATCCCGCCAATCACCAACGGGTTATTGTTGTGTCATAATAGTGATACAAGAAGTGGCCGCAGCCCACCTTGATCTCTAGGTAAACTCATCTAGAACCACAAATCAACT